TGGCTCAGGGAGAGGAGGAAATGGATAGTTGGAGGTTGTTTGAAACAAAATACTGTGGTAAAATCCACAAATAAGTGCTTGGTAATATTTTTTATATTAGGCACTGCAGAATTAGACATGTATTTAAAATTAGGAAGTTTTTCTTTGTTGTTTTTCTCCTGGCCATGATTCTTGGATATCATATTGTGTTGAACAGTAGAGGAGGATATGTAAAGCCTGGCATGTCTGCTTCTGCCCATCGTATTGCTACTTTTTGCATGCATTTTTGTGCGTTCAGAATATTCAGATTTCCATTCAGATGAAAACCAAGGGTTTTATACATCTAGCCAAGGTGTGCTGTGAAATTGCACAGCTGTTCATCATGTGTAATACTAAAGCAGCCCTGTTTTACTTGCTGTTACCTAAACCTCTGTCAGCTACTGCTAGAAGTTTAGAGTGGAGATCGTACTGATTTCTGAGTGCTTACCAGCATCTCTGGTAGGAGAGTTTCAAACTGCAAACTTTGATCTGTTTTTAAGTAGTCAAATTAATCCGTGTACTCTGACTTCTGTTTCCCCACATGTGACAGTAATGCCTTTTATGTCCTTGTGCCTTCACACCTTACTCAAATTTAGGTGTAAATTGAATAAGAAATCAGTGCAGAGAAGAGCACTGCCTGTTACGAAGGCAACTTAAATTTGAGAGCAGGTATTTTTCTCTTGCAGTCTGACTGACTTAAAAAAAGGCAATGGAAGAAGATAAAATTATGCTGGTAGAGGGTCATGCTATCAAAATTACTTTCAATTTCTCCTTATGTTTTAAGCACGGAAACAGGAAAATGTAAATGAAGAAATTGTTAGAGAATAAGAAAGCTTTCTGTGTGTTGTTTCTATTAACGTATTTACACTGCTGTGTAAAATGATATTTCACAGTAGTTTCTGTTACTCAGGATTCACTCTGTGAGTGAGGATACCCTTAATTTCATTCTGGAGTTTACGAACTGGAAGAGGCTTCCTCCAGTTGTAGAGGAGGACCTTGTAAACTACAAAGAGAAGTTCAGTTGGACTCCCAAGAGCCATTTTGGTAAGCAAAACAATGAGGAAAAAAAGTTTCTGTGTACAGCAGTCTCCAGGATGTAAGTGGGAAACAGGTCTTTGTGTGAAGGAGGTCAGAAAGTCAATAAAAACTGCCTGTCCAGAAGCTGGGCAGCAGAAACAAGTTACCTTAAGCAAACAAGCAAACCACATTTGAATGGATTTTACTCATTATGTTGTTCAGTTCACATATTTCAGGTAGGTGTTCTCAGTCTAGGTTATCTTTTCCACTTCATATTGATGTGCACGCTATGAAATACAGGCAGTGAATGTAAGTTGGTCTCCCTCAAATGATGTGGTTAGCTTCTTGGAAGACTGAAGGGAAGATGATCAGTGTTACTTGGTTAACTCTATTTTCTAGACAATATCCCACTGAGTTTGTTTTTTAATTTAATTAGTATTTCCCATGATGTGTCTGCCTTGTTCTGCAAGCATTTGAGAGTAATTAAAATACATACTATCTAAATCATTCATATTAAATAACTGTAAAGCAAGGAGTTTCTTATTACTCCTATAAATAAAGTGTGGTCAGCCCAACAGAATCACTAGCAGACTGTCCAGTGCTCGCTGCATTCACCCAACAGAACAGCAGCTCCAGCATACAGGCATTGCACTGAGACATGCATTCAGCATGCATGGAGAAGCTGTGCTCCAGTGTCCTTGTTTAGTGCCTCATCTTAAAGCATGTTCTTCTTTACAAGGGGTTGTCATCATTATGAAAACATCCGAACTACGTTAGTGTGACTAAATAAGATTTTCTTCAGATTATTTAATACATTTGTAATTATTTATGCACCTATATTTAATATAAAATATACTTTATGTATTGACTGTATTATTTATTAATATATTGTTGTTATTATGAACAGTAATAGTAACCAAACCCACACAGAGAAGAAAGTTCTAAAGCTTTTGCTTTTCCATTCTTTGAGCCAAGATCAGTCAGGGCAGGCAAGCCAGCTGTGCTGCTGGAGCTTTCCCCTTTGGAGAGTGTTAAGTTCTTGGACTGAGATGAGTTAGTCCTGAGAGTGAACACAAGAAATTAACAGTGAAGCATTCATGAAGGGTGGAGATAATTCAGTGAAGGGTAGAAAGATGTGTCAGCCTCACCTCTCTGCTGGGGAAGATCCTCCTGGAAACTATGCTAAGGCACACAGTAAGAAGGAGGGGATATGAGACAGCCTGTGTGGCTTCACCAAGGGTAGGTTCTGCCTTACCAACCTGGAGGCCTTCTTTGATGGCATAACTGCATCAGTAAACAAGGAAAGAGCCACTGATATCATCTATCAGGACTTCAGAGAGGCCTTTGATGTGGTGCCCCATAACATCCTTCTCTCTGAATTGGAAAGTTAAGGATTTAACGAGTGGGCTGTTCAATGGATGAGGAACTGGTTGTGAGATCACACCCAAAGAGAGGTGCCCAATGGTTCAGTGACCAGATGGAGATCAGTGATGAGAGGTGTCCCTCAGGGTCAGTATTGCTCTTTAATATCTTCATCAATGGCATCAACAGTGAGATAAGTGCACCCTCAGCAGTTTGCAGAGGACACCAAGCTGTGTGGTGTAGTGGACATGGCTTGGGAATGGGATGCCATCAGAGAGACCTAGACAGGCTGAGCAGTGAGCCCAGGAGAACCTCTTCAGGTTCAACAAAGCTGAGTGCAAGGTCAACCCCTGGGTTGCAGCAACCCCCACTATCAGTACAAGCTGGGGATGTAAGGATGGAGCACAGACCTGCCAAAAAGGACCTGGGGTACTGATGGATGGCAGCTGGACACGAGCCAGCACTGTGTCCTCACAGCCCAGAGAGCCAACCACATCCTGGGCTGCATCAAAAGAAGTGTGGCCAGCAGGGTGAGGGAGGGGATCTGCCCCTCTGCTCTGTGCTGTGAGACCTCACCTGGAGCACTGCGTCCAGATGGGCAGTGCTCAGTACAGGAGAGACATGGAGCTGCTGGAGATGTGCAGAGGAGGGCTGCAGAAATGAGCCCAGGGATGGAACACCTCCCTGTGAGGACAGGCTGACAGCTGGGCTGTGCAGCCTGGAGAAGGGAAGACCTGAGAGTGGCTTTTCCATAACTGAAGGGGCTGTAAGAAGGAAGGGGACAGACTTTTCAGCAGGAGCCATTGTGATAGGGCAAGGGGAAATGGTTGCTAACCATCTCTACCCAAAGAGGAGAGATTTAGCCTGGATATAAGGAAGAAGTTTTTTACAGTAAGGGCGGTGAGGCCCTGACACAGGCTGCACTGAGAGGTGGTGGTGCCCCTTCTGTGCAGACACTCAAGGTCAGGCTGGGCAGAGCTCCGAGCACATGATGCAGCTATATCTGCAGCTGCAGGGAGTTGGGCTAGGTGACTTTTAAAGGTCCCTTCCAACTCCAGCAATTCTAATGATTTTGTGCTGAAAGCTTCAAGGAGTGGTGCTCCAGGTCTTCGGGCTTACAAAATACAGTGTCCTATAAAGTTCTTAATTTCAGTTCAGAAGGATAAGTATAGCAGGTGCAGAAATGATTGCAGTTAATATTACAGCCAAAATTCTGACTCCAGCAGCGAAGTGTCCGTCACAGGCAAGAATTCTATCTCAGTATGTGGTAGGCTGGAGTTTCACACATCTTGTCTGAAGCAGATCCCTGTGGACGAGTGGTGTATGATGACGTTCCCTGTTTGACTTTTGTCATTTTTCAGCTGACATCCCCTCCTTGTCTCACCTTTGTCGCCTTGAGATCCGCTCCATCTTAGGGAGTGAACGTCTGCGATCTGACCGGTTTATCCGGGCTTTGCCCTTGCCAGTCTGCCTGCAGGACGACCTGCTGTACCTAAACCTGCTGCGTGTCAGCACTGTGCCAGAAGCAGAGGAGAACCTGAGGCACAGTGAGGAGGGAGCTCCATCTGCTGCTGCCTCCAGCTCCGACCACACAGAGAAGGGGGACGCCGGTAATTCCCCCCCTAGGTGATGGCACTGCCAGCGACTGAACTCGGTGGCTGCAGACGTTGTAAAGGCAATAAGCAGACAACAGAGAACTGCTGTAAGTCACTTTGTAGTCACAAGTCTTTTCACGCTGTAGTTTTATACTTTTTTGTTGGGAAGTTTGTTGAAAGTTCAAGGATGTGCCCATGGAAAAGTCTGTTCTGGCCTTCTAAGTCTGCAAATGTTTTCTGGTTTTGAAAGGAATTTATAACTCTTACGGAGTAAAATTACCTTGTTCAGTGAACAGAGGCTGTACATAGTAGCTGAAGTCTGTTCAGGCACTGTTAATAGACACTGCATTCCATGTATGGCACATTCCAAATGAAATACCTGGAAGTCAAGGGCCACAGTGTAGTATTGTTAAGAATTTCTTTTGTTGAGGAGCAATCTAGTTAAACCAGATAGAAAACCAATGAGAAAGAAAATTGTTTTTCTTTCCTTCGGTCTGCATTCAGCACCTGAAGTGCTGTTCTTTTGCCATCATTTTCAGTCATCTTTCAGCACATCTTTCTATGCCACATCTTTTGGAACTGCTCCTGTCTGTGTTACCAAGCTGCTGCTCTTGTCAGTACTTTTCTAATTAGTGAAAAGCAGATCACTGCCTTTAAAGATGAACAAGGTTTCTGCCTTACTCAGTGACTGATACACCAGTGTCTTTAAAACTGTTTGTAACCTTGATTCCGAGTAGTAATTTCTATAGAATTCTCCCCACACCTCAAACACGTTTACTGTTAGCACTGAACTCTGTGTGAGCTGATCTAAAATGTTGAGAAAAGTTTGGAGCTTTCTGCTCAAATTTACTGTGTCAAAGTTTGTTTTCTTCAGTAACAAAAGTGATTACAGAATAAAGGTAATCCATACCTCTGAATGGGATTTCTTGCATAAAATCTGATTAGCTTGTGATGTATATATTTTTTAAATACTTTGTACCATGCTACATCAAGCTGCACATTTTCATTATCAGTGTACAGTGCATTTTTGCAGTCATTATCAGTGAATTTTCCTTGGGTTAGCAGCCCCTTCCTATCAAAGGACACACAAGGAAGAAAATGATGTTGAAGACTTTTTACCATTTTCATGCTGGTTTCAGTTTGTGCTCCATCTGCACCTAACTGGGGAAGGGGCAGCTCTGCCACATCAACAGCCCTTCCCAGGCTGGGTGAAAATGGCTGTGGGGAGGCCAGGAGAGCCCCTGCTCCCCTATGGAGGAAATTCCCACTTGGAATATGGGGAAAAGGAGTCTCCCTTTGGAGGAAGCTCCCCCCTTGCTTTTAAGAAAATTCCTATGTGGTTTGCTGGGAACTTGCTCGCTCTTTACAGGGAGCTCCTATTGGGGATTGTCAGGAAATTCCTTCCTCACATGTGAGGAAATTTCCACTACAAACGGTAGAAAAAAATTACCTCGTTTTAAAGGAAATTTCCCCAAGAAATATTAGAAATTCCTCCCTTGCTGTGGGACTAATTACCACTTGGGTTACTGGGTAATTACCACCCCCCCCTTTGACAGAAATTTCCATGTGGAAGGCCAAGACCTCCCCCCTCCCATGACACCGGATGAAATTCCCACTTGGATTAATGGTTATTTTCCCCACGCTTGGAGGAAGATGCCCTGTGGAACAGCAGGAACTTCCCCCTGCTTTAGAGAAAATTGCCATTGTGAGTGCAAAGAAGTTTCTTGCACGTGCTGGGGGAAGGTTCCTCCTTGGAATGCAAGGAAACCCCTCCAATTGCACTCCCTTGCCCTCCCACCCCTTGCAGCCCCATCTGTGTGCATCCCCATTCAGTGGCTTCCCAGCAGTGCACAAATGCACCCAGGCTGGTGTGGGCAGCAGCTCCTGGCCTCACTGCATGCTCCCCTGTCCCATTATCAAGGTACGTTCCTTTCACCCCTTGCACTGGGTGCCCTCTACACTCAGCAGCTTGTAAATAACTCATTTCCCATGTAGCAAGATAACTGTCCACAACCTTTGAGCCTGGTGGGGCTGGGTGACATTTCACAGTGGGAGAGGCAGCCCGAGGAACAGGAGCAGTTACAGTGCTGTGCCAGCATGGGCACAGCAGCAGAGCAAAAATGGCTTTAAGTAATGAGATTGCCCAAGCTGTTTACTTTCCCCATACTTGATTTGCAAACCTTTAGCCTATGGGGCAGGGATGGATTTTGTAGAGGGCTTTGCAAGGCAGAGGAGCTGGGGCAGGACTCCAGGGGCTGGGGCAGGATGGGGTAGAGGTGAGGCATGCTGCTGCAGGGGGGGGGCAGCACGAGATGCTTCCCAACCCTGCCTGGCTTCTCCCCTGGGCTCAGAAGAACATTGGAGCCCACATGCAGCCTTCCCTCTTGTAGCCCACAGGTCCCAGCATCAAACAGCCCCACAACCAAAAGGACACGACACCGCTGTACAAAAATCCCACTTTCAATGAACTGAAAGAACAACCGCGTCTCGCCGGGGTCGGTGGAGGTGCCAGGACACCTCTGGAAGCCCAGTGCTGCCTTTGCTCTAGGAACGCCCTCATCCTGAAGATGTGAAGCTGGTGCCATTTCCACCAGGCTCACTGGTAGTAGTTGCTGAAGGCGTGGAGGATATACAGGAAGGTGGTGATGAAGGCGAAGAACTACAGGAGAGGAGGAGCAAAAGCTGGAGTCAGCGGAGTCCCCACAGGGTACAATTCCATTGTCTCACAGTGTTCTCTGCCTGGGGAAACCACTCAGCCAAGAGCTCCCTCCAGCCTCATGGAAGAAGCAAAGCCCCCACACTGCTCAGGATGTCCCTGAGCTGCTGAGCCCCAAGAACCCCCTTATGCTGGCTGCACAGTGTGATGGACAAAAGAAGCTGAGGCTGCTGGGTGATACAGGCTTGGATTGGAGTGTCCCTGCCTTGGCAGTCATGTTTGCTTCTGCATCCCCCCAGGAGAAGCTGCTGGTGTGCTTCTGGACTCACTCACCGATGCCGCACAGTTGAGCTGGTAGTAGAGTGGTGAGCTGAAGCCGAATTCGGAGTTGATTGTCGCGTTGGCTTGCAAGACAGCAGCGCTCATGTACAGAATGGCTGTGGCACCGTGGTACAAACTATCCTGCAAAACAACAGTGGCATGGATCAAAAATCGCTCTGCCTTCCTTTCTGCCATCCACCCTGGAGACAAGGTGCTACTGTCCGGCCTCTGTGCATGAGGACACACACACAGATGGGGGCTGGAACCAAGCACTGCCTGGCTGCTTCATAGCGTGCTCAGCCCTCCTGCTTCCACCCAAGGGAACCCATCTCCAGCTGGAAAGGCACAGAGCCCTGCCACAAGCTCACGGGTTGATGGGGATGGAGGTGGGAACAGCTTCTGTCGCACCCTGAGCTCTTCTCCTTTGTTCCGTGCTCCAAGTGGGGCTGAAAGTGATGAAGTGCCATGCAGTGGAATAGCAAAACCACCCCCAGGCATTTCCAGGAAATGCTTCACTTTGTCCCCAGTAAGGAAAGGGACGCTTATGTGCAGTCAGGCTGGCCAACCCATCTCCAGCTGCTGCTGCCACCCAGCTCTGCCCATTTCTGAGCCCTTCCTTACCAGCACTTTCCAATTGTTGCTGTTTTTGTGAAAGCCGAAGAGGTAACTGATGAGGAGCAATAGGGAGATGAGGCAGGAGGTGAGGGACACGTACATAACCCATCCCTGCAGCAGTGGGAAGGAGACTGAGGTAGCAGCAACGAGGATCCAAACCCAGGCCCCACAGATCTGTGGGAGACAAACACAGGCACTTCTAGTGAGCGTAGGATGGGGAAATCCCTTTCTTCTCCCTGCATCCTTGCAGACCTCCTTCTCAGATCAGCCTTCACCTTTGGGCAGTGCAGCACGGCCTCCGTGCAGGGCATCCTTGGACCAGCAGCAGCATCGCAAGCTGGCACAAGTTGCTCTGAATGCTCTTGGGAAATACCTCCCAATGTTTCTTACAAAAAGGAAGTCATGGCTGCTTTGTTTGACAGAAGGAAAAGCCTCACCCTGAGGGCTTCGGCAAGAAGCCAGAAGCACACTTTTATCTCGGAAACGTGAACCACTGATGTCAGCCCAGCCCTGCCTGCACATAAATCTCCTGGGCCTGAAATCACAGCACAAGGAAGTTGTCTCCTGACTTCACACAGTGGCCCAGAATGAGTTGCTCACTCCGTTTCCACCTCAAGTAATTACTGAGCAGAATAGAGCACAGCAGGGCCGCTTCAATAAGCTCTCACCAGCTGTGTTGGTCAGCCTCCCTGCTTTACACTGACTGCACCCACGAGGTGTGGATGGTGTGTGCTGCTGGTACCACATCGTGGCAATGAGCTGCTGGGCCCTGTGTCAAAGTACAGCTGCAGCTACTGCAGCCAGTCAGGCTGGATGCCCTCTGGACTCAGTCACAATGTGAAGATGTATGGAATTTTATACAGTATGAGAAGCTCGCTTGCCTATAGCCCTCGAGACCTCACAAAGGCTTCATACAAAGAACAAAATGCCTTTAATTATAAGCAGTTTTCAACTTCTGTTTGCTAAGTAGAGCTGCTGCTGCTCCCCAGGCACACAGCAGCCATTCTCAGCTAGCTGGCAGCCCCCTATGCAGGCTCTGTGCTGGTGCAGGAGCTCAGCTGGTCCTCAGGGTGCGCCGAGAACAATTTAGCCAAGAAGAGTACCTCCGTGTGAGGTCCAGAATAAGCCAAAAGAAAAGAAGGTACATTTCATTCAGGCTATTTTCAGGATCCTTCAAGGGCTACTCCCAAATTGTTAACCCCAGCGTTCCCTAGAGTCGCTACCCAGGTGGCAGAGCACAGCAAAGCTGAGGGTACTCACTATCTCCGGCAGGATGAAGGCGTAGGGAATGGTTTTAAAGACGACCGGTCCGGAGGGCAGGGTGGACTGTGAGGTGGCTGCAGTGGGAGATGCTGATGCCATCGCTCCTCAGCTGATGCCGTGGCCGCTCGGGCTCCGCTAGGCTCGCATGTGTCAGTGCTGCACCACTCCCTGCGGGCTTTTAGCCGACACACCCGCGGGGACGTAATCGCAGAGACCAGCCCAGACTGGCACCACGCTGCTTCCTCCAGTCAAAGGAGTCCTCACTAACCCTCCAGTTACCTCCTAATACACCCTGATGTCAACACGGGGATGGGATGGGCTCCCAGACCTGCCAGCGCTGCCACTGGCAGCAGCACACGGTCAATTTAACGAGAAACGACAAAGAATCCACGCCATACCAGCACAGAAATGGTTCCTACAACCCGATTTTGTCCTTGGCACTCTCTCAAGTGTGAAGTATTTTCGTTTCCACTCTCTTTGCCTCCTCCCATTTCTGCTCAGGTTTCTGCTTGTTGTTTGGAAGAATCCCCCACACCCACAGGACACAGCCAGCCCTTGAACACTTACAGCCCGCCACGGCTTTGACAAACATTTTCTACAGGCAGCCCAATGCACTGGTGAAAGATGGGAGAGTTTGTTTGCTCAGAAAAACATTCACTAGGAGAAGCTTTGATTTCCAGCTCCTTGTAGCTGTGGATTCAATGAAGGCACTATTTGTTCTGTCTCACCCACTCAAGAAGTGTAGGAAATAACCAAAGGAATAAAAACCTGAAGGTGGCATCTCTGGCCTATGTCACAGAGTAGACAAAAAGACTCCACCAACTTGGGCAGTGCTCTGCAGCAAGAGGAGAATGATATCCTACTGCAATATCACATCTCTCTATTAGAAGGGCCAAATTTAGCCCTCAGAATTTGGGTTCCAGGCTCTTACCAATAGAATCAATCAGTGATGGTTCAAATCCATGATGAATCAAATCCATGATGAGGAACATCATCTGAACCTGTCCTGGGCCAGGGGAATGCGCTTTGTAGGACTTCCAAAGGCTCCACTTTACAAATGCTGTCAGTGAGGACTGGCCTTGGGCTCTACAGTGCTGTGATCATTGAAAGACCTTGTTTTAAAATATTTCAGATCAGTTTGGATGTAAATTCATATGTGACTTGGTAAATGCTCACCTCATCAGACACTGTGGCAATGTGCCCATCACCATGGACAAAGCGTGCAGGCATCCGGATACTCCAGCACAAAAGAGAAAACAGATGAGTAACTTCCTACCAGGACTGCGTAGCACGGCCTGTGGTTACACAGTGCTCAGGGAAAAGAAGCCCTTAACATCCTGGTCCATATGAGAAATACCCTGCAACTCATCAGCCAGTACTCAGAAGCCAGCACAAAGTGAGCTAACCCATGGTCTAGCCATGCAGAGGGGAATCGCAGCGTTCCCTGAATTCTCACCACCATTGATTTGTACTGGGTGGGGTCAAGCACACATTCCTGTGAATAACTCAACCTTTTCCTGAGTGAGAACGGAAAACAGTAAAACAGTCTAAATAAGGAGCCGTCTGCTGATTGGACAAGAGATTACTTTTTTCCTGACCTTGTTCCACAGCATTCTTAAAGATCGTGGCTGTTTTCCTTGCCTGCTACCAGTCCACTTGGGTGCTGAAACCAAAAGTCTTTCGTTCACCTTGGTCAAAAGAAAACTGGAAATTAATTGAAAGCTGTGTGAGAGAAGTGCTGCCACAGCACAGTTTGCTCTGCTTCAGCACGGAACAACTGTGGCTACAAGTGGTTCATGTAGCAACAGACAGCCATAGCTTTGGCTGACACTGCAGAGGGGAAAAGGTAATATAATTTATTTTAGTGGAACCAATGAAACAATGCCCGTCTCCCTCAAAATGTTATTTTTAATGTGTGAAAATATTTCTTGCAATACAGATAGTATACATAATTTCTCTTTGGTAAAAGTTTATCTGTACTGTTACCCTGCAATCCATTCATAATGTGGGATTGTTTTTTCTCGTTTCTCCTAAGAAATCATAGGCCAGCTCTGAGATGTCAAAGGCTGTGTGAGTGTTTTCTGAGGATAGCAGAGACTGAAGGGCACCATCGTTCTCTCGGCTCTTTCTCAGAAAGTCAGCAATCACTCTCCAGCGAGATGCTTCAGACTCCTCCTCTGCCCACTTGTAGCTGGGGAGCAAAGTGGAGCGGAGGAGAGGGAAGACTGAGTCGTGGTACACCAGGATGAACACAGACTTCAGGAATTCTCGATCTCTCTGCAAAGGAGAAAAGCATTTGAAATCATTTCCATGCAAAACATGCAGCGCTGTCAAGTAGTTCTACATAAGAAAAACAAAACAAAAACATTCAATCAAGCCCAATTCCCAGGAAACTGGACCTTCTTAAACATCAGCCAGGCTGGATGAGCCTCAAACTCAGCACAGAACTATACTATGTAAGCTACAGATCAACACATCAGCTCTCCAACTGCTGGAGCCAACACAGTGCAGTGGTACACAGCCAAACCCACTGATGCTGCCACCTCTGCTGAGAAGGAACCTTGTGATGCTTATCTGGCCAAGTCCCCGTGGTTTTCACAGCCAGGGTATTCTCTGGAGAAACAGACTATGCTCCCCAATGAGCCATTCAAAGGCATCATAAGCTTCACGGTGCACTAAAATCCCTGTCCACATCCCCACACCTGATTTTCAGATCAAATCTTACTGCACTCTGCCTGAGGAAGCACGATTGTATAATTTAGTACTAAAATTCATCACTTAAAGAGAAATTTCAACCTTCTGCAAACTTCTTCTCCCTCCACCCTGGTGAGCTGCCTATGTTGAAGCAGCCTGAACTATCAGGCTTTCTTTTGGTCCTTCAACTTTGGATAGTCCCTTGTAAAACATGTTTAAATTAGGTTGGGCAAAAAGAGGAAACTGGAAAGTCTAAATAAAGTGTAAAAAGTGAACACCATTTTCTTCCTTTTTAATACCTAATACCTTTGTATTAACTCACCTGGTGTTAATGACAGCTCCTTCATCTCTCCCTATGTTTGTAGTCACATACATCAGAAATAAAAGTCAGTTTGTTGGGGGCAGTGGAAACCCTGAGACCTCAGTTAAACATCTCAAAACCTTCTTGATTTCAGAATTATTTTGGTTCAAGCTTTTGCAAAACTAGAAGAAATCTTTCCACTTCTTCACTGCTTTGCATGAAGTCTTGTACTGCCAATGTTTACCACAGAAAGTTATCTCATTGGGTATTTATATTTCTTTCTAAAAACACCAGTGTATGAAGAGAAGACTCTTCTCCAGAGCCCTGCATGCAGAAATTGAGTGTGTTTGCTCTTGTCCCTGGGGGAGCTCACACATCCTCCCTGCCTTGCAGGCCCAAGCCCCACCTGTCCCTCCAGTGCTCTTGGCAGAGAGATGCAACAATCCCTTGTACCTTGCACCACAAGACTCTGAGCAGGAGGTAGAGCCATTCTCTATGTAATCATTTCACATTCTGACAGGGCACTCTATGTGTAGAGACAATTATACCCTCTCATGTTTGCAAAACCTAGAAACTAAAAATCAGCCTGGTCAATTCATCAAGCACTGACCGCTTCAAACAGACAAAATTTGGATGCCTCCTTTTCCAAACACACTAGGACATAGCCTTCTATGCAAGAAATACAGAGCACTGCCTCCTCAAAAACTCACCTGCCACTGAACCTCTGCTAGAACATGAACAATACGACTCGCTTTGGAATCTCTTTGCTACCCCTGGGAAGCTGAACAGTTCATGTCTCAGCAGAAGATTAGCAGTTTAATGTCATAAAAGCAAGCAAGAAGGAGCAAGACCTAGCTGTCGTGCCAGGCAGCAATCCTGCCAGAGGAGTGGCACATGACAAATCAGGTAAAACTGGATGGTCCTGGGATTCTGAGCAGTTACTAATTCTCTGGGCAGATCAGCTTACATTTTGGATGAATGGCCTTGAAAAAGTTGTTCTGCTTCAATGGCATTTTGTTTTGTTTGCATAAACGGGGTGCTCTCTCTGCACATCTATTTGGTAGCGTGCACAGTGAGTGTTGCTTCCAAGATGTGAAGAGCCTTGCATCAACACCCAGTTTTTCCCATTCAGTTATCTATAGCTGCTCTCTGTTCAGAGGATAAGAGACAGGACTAGACACAGGTAAGCCTGCTGATGTGGCCAATTCAGTTTGTCTGCAGCTGTCTGCATGCCAAAATGGGAGACCACAAGTGTTTAACATAGGGAGACTGCAGAACGTGGGGCCTTCCTCCAGGTAGACTGGAGCAGGACTGGAGCTGGGAGGCTGGAGAAGGAAAGATTGTTTTTTGTGGACATACACAGCACTTTTATACCAGTGGAAAGTTTTCACCAGGCAAACGTTGCAAGCATCGTGAAAGAGAGGCACATTTTGGGCACAAACCTATGACATCTTCCACATTAACAATTATATTTACAAACACTGAGACAAAAAGTTACAAATTAATTTCACAGTCCTCCTAGTTTTCTGTTGTAAATATGGTAATAAATGTTAAGAACTACATTTAGCGTATCTGCATTTTCTAAATAAATCTGTGGTGACAGGAACAATTAACTTGAGCAGCAATGCTGAAAGAAAGCTTCTAGTTTGTATTAGGTTTAGTGTAAGTCAAAGAAAAAAACTAGCACTTGGTAATGTACCTTTTCTGATTTCTTCAAAGTTCTTTCTCTGTCCGCCCAAGCACTCTGAAATGAAATATAAAATATACAATGGGAAATCAGATTGAGATTGGGGAAATCTGGCAAAGTTCCACTTTTACCTGCAGAAATCCCTCTTTTACCTGCAGAAATCCCTCTTTTACCTGCAGCCCCATGGTGGCTTAAGCCCTTGTTGCAGCCCTTCTTTCCTCATGTTCTAATCATTAATCACTTGGAGTCCTTACATCCTTTTCAGATGTGCTCAGATGTTCTCTTGCTTTTGAAGGGACTAAGGCACAAGACATCTGCCTGTACTTGAAGTAATTGTAACTTCTCTGCTGCTTGGCTTTTCCGTTTATCTTTTTACAGTATAAATTAAAAAGCTCAAATTATGTAAACTAGCTGGAAATTCTGACACATCAGATGTCATTGACCACCATACAGAAAACATACCCGCAGTGCATCCATCAGGTCTGGCTGATCCATGAGTTGAGGAAAAGTTGCTAAAATAGGATTACAGATTAATTCTGAAACAAAAAAACAAACACATTGGAGGCAAAGAAGAAATCGGATGGTTTTCAAGGCAGAAGACCTGCTATGCCTAGAAACAGCCCCTTCCCCAAACTCTTCAGAGGGAAAATTAGCAGTATTAGTACTCCAGAGCTGCAAAGATTGAAGAGCTCTCTGACAAGAGCTTTCTACAGCAAACTCTCTAATTGCTAAGATGCTGTTAGCAAGGGAGAGAACAGATGTGCATAAAAAGAAAAGAAAAACAACAAAAAAATCCAAACCAAGTGCCAGTTTATCAGGAGAAGCCAGCAGGTAAGAGACCTTACTAATTTAACCCAAGGGTAGATTAGGGTGTTCTCCTCACTGCTGCACCTGTCTTTTTTATAAACATCTGAAATTGTGACACCTGGTTTGGATGTTATGAATAAACATGCTTTTATTCTGCCTTGATCTGGCTTGTGTTGCATGTGGTTTGGGGATAACTGGACAACTGCTTTTTCAGAACATAGCAGAATACAGCCACCCATTTTAGAAGTATTGACTTTGAAGTAAGAGCATCAATTTGCCTTCGTAACATCAGAAAAAAAAAGTAGAAAACTGCAACCTGAACAACTTCTGAACTGTGGGGGTAAAGCCTTTAAAACATTTCCAATCAAGACTGAATCCAGATGGCAGCAATTTAACTCTAACAGAGATCATCAGCCTGATGTATTGTCCTATGTTACAAAGTTCAAATCAGGCAATTGTGGTGGATGGATCTTAGCTGGCTTTGAAACACTGAGCATCTTCTGTTTCTCAGTGATGAGTTTAATAAATAAAGCATTCATTCATTCAAGGGTCTGACTTGTGTATACACTTTGACTACTTGCTGTCTGAAAGTTCATGAAAACCAGGAAGGCAGTTTAGTTCTGGGCATCTTTGAAAGGTGAACCTGTCATTCGGGTGCCTCAGCATGGCGTGACGTGGATTGTAGGCTAAAATGTACAAGCAAAGTTATTTGCCATAGGAACAGAGGACACATCATTCAGTCTGGGAAAGAGACAGAGGAGAAAGCACAAGAAAATTACTTTGCAGTACCACTACCAAGTCATGTGTAGTAGAGTTAAGAAATGTAATTTTTTCTGTATTTCAAGTGTGAGTGTGTAACAGAAAAGACTGTAAACTATCACTATTCTGCTGAAGGAAAGATGTGGAAGGAATAAGATACAGACTTTTAAAATCAGCACAAGATAGAGTTCTAAAAGCAGAGCTTTTCCACTTCCATCTCTCCCCACTGCATTGACCAGAAAGTAAACAATTAAATCAATACAAGGAATTAAAAGAGGATGGCTTCATCCCAACGACAGAAACAGCTGCTTAGTCTTTCCTACAACATATGAGAGCATGCATTCACTAGAAATGGATGAGTAAATCTGTCAGCACATCTGATCTTTCACTGCACGGGTGGTGCAAAGGAAACGTTTATCTTCCAAACAATCCCTTCATCTTTATTTACTACTTATTTAGAAATAACCTTTTGCCTGTCCAT